CCCTGCACCTACACACACTATATACACACTACACACTATACCCCTATACATAACACTACACCCCCTGCACCTAAACACACTATATACACCCTACACACTATACCCTATACATAACACTACACCCCCTGCACCTACACATTATACCCCTATACATAACACTACACCCCCTGCTACTACACACTATACCCCTATACATAACACTACACCCCCTGCACCTACACACACTATATACACACTATACCCCCATACATAACACTACACCTCTGCACCTACACACACTATATACACACTATACCCCCATACATAACACTACACCTCTGCACCTACACACACTATATACACACTACACACTATACCCCTATACATAACACTACACCCCCTGCACCTACACATTATACCCCTATACATAACACTACACCCCCTGCTACTACACACTATACCCCCTATACATAACACTACACCCCCTGCACCTGCACACACTATATACACACTACACACTATACCCCCTATATACACACTACACCTTCTGCACTCACACACTCTATACCCCCTATACACTGCACTCAATCACTACACAAACTCTATACTCCCTATAAACACACATATTACTCTGCATACGCACACACACAAAAGCACTACACACTCTATACCCCTATAAACACCTCACCACTGCATTCATACTATGCCGATATACACCTCCTGTGCACCCACTGTACCCCTATGCACACACAACTCCCCTAAACACACACTACACCCCCTATTATTACCACACCAATACACACATGTGCACAACACCTATACGCATACACATAATGCCACCCCCTGCAACTCCTAGATACACGAAATACAGTCCTTACATGCAAACGCAACACACCACTAGGCACACACACTCTAAAGACCCTATAAACACACACACACACACACACACACACACACACACACACACACACACACACATATAATATACAGCCCAAAAACACACCTATACACTACAGGCCCCAGCTACATATTATACACCACAAACAGACCCCTTTACACTCTACAGCATAACCGATCTCCTTTACACACATGCAATCACATAAAAAAAGATCCAAACACATATAACACCGCAGGGAGCATTCCCACACGTGCAAAACACATGTTAACAATCCTTTTCCACTAATGGGGACACCAGAGACAAGTCACTAGGACTTTTTCTCCATCAGACAGCACTGAATGCTCTGGTGGGGTATCACACTAACATAACAATTGGGAGGGCGGGGGGTGCTTGTCAATAGTGGCGATATAACGTGCCACATTTCTGGCCCACCCTTCCTAGTGGGCTGCTCTGCCTGGGCTGACTTTTTGTCCCAGTCCAGCCCTGTTCACCGGCCCACATGCAGGAGAGGACCCGGGGAGCTCTAGCCAGCAGTTCCGCTGGGTTCCTCTCGCGAGGTCGGAGTGTTGCCACGGCCACGCTCAGATCTTGTGAGAGTGAACGCTAGCCCTGCAGGCTAGAGTTCACTCACTAGGACCACCAGAGTTCAGGCATGGCAGCAGTATATATATATACACACACATATATACGCGACGTGTGTGTTTGTGCTTTAGGGTGCACACCCTAATGCAATAGGCTGCGCACGCCTATGCCTACCCCCCTCACCCTAAAATAAGGAGGGGGGGCATTAACTAAGTACCTGTTAAAAAATATAAAATACAACTTACCATTTGATGTTTTCTTCTAAAATCTTTTTTTTTCAGCCCCAAAAAAGGCCAAATCAAAATACATAATAACCGAGGCACTTTAAAAAAAAAAATTATCCATCTTCACCAATGGAGGGCTCCGCGCAGACTGAGCTCTGCAGGGAGGGGGAAGGCTTATAAAGCCTTGCCCCACCCTGCAATTAGGCTCAGAGCACTCTGATTGGTGGGTTTAAGCCATCCAATCAGAGTACTCTGACAGGTAAATGAAGAGACTGACAGGTAAGTCTCTACATTTACCTGTCACAGCACTCTGATTGGTTGGTTTAAAATCCACCAATCAGAGTGCTCTGTGTCATTTTACAGAGCGTGGGAAAGTTCTTTGGAACTCAGGGGTGGGGGCCGGGGGGGGAGAACATTAGGTCCCCCCCATTTTTAATTTATGGCCCCCACCCACTGCACAGGGGTGGGGGCCGGGGGGGAGGACAGTAGGGTCCCCCCATTATTGTTATTTAGGGCCCCCACCCGTCGCCCAGGGGTGGGGGCAATATTTTTTTTTATTTTACAGTGAGCAGCCACTGTTTACTAGACATGCCCCTACTTGCAGTATTGCGAGTAGGGGCTGAATTTACTAATACTAAGTAATCTTTACTTAGTATTAGTAAATGTGGCTGAAAGACCAATTAAGGTCTTTCAGCCTTTTGGTAGATAGCTCCCTAATACCGTGGGAATTAGGGAGTTATCTACTAAGCGGCTGCTTATTTTATGTTATTTTTAAGTGATTTCCCTATCCACATTTGTTTGCAGGGCACTTGTCCTACTCTTACCCCCATTTTACTTCCTTTTGCAGCCCTCTAGCCCTTTCCAGGGGTTTTTATACTGGCGGTATAGCGAGTAGGGGCTGAATTTACTAATATTAAGTAATATTTACTTAGTATTAGTAAATGTGGCTGAAAGACCAACTTAGGTGACAATATATATATATATTTTAACAGTTTAATAGACACGCCCCTACTCGCAGTATAGCGAGTAGGGGCATAATTTACTAATACTACGTGACCAGCTTCTATAGATGCTGGGTCACTTGCTGCACTGGCCAATCACAGCCATGCCTTAGTAGGCATGGCTGTGATGGCTTCTAAGGACACATGAGTCAAACGCTTGTTGATTGGCTGCCCTGCAGCCTTTCAAAACGCGTCATTAAATCTCCGAACTCCAACCCGAACATACAGTGATATGTCCGTGTTCGGGTCCGGGGTCCAAAAAACCTAATGTTCGGTACGAACCCGAACGTTTCAGTTCAGGTTTGCTCAACTCTAATGGGGACTTGTATATAAGGCCAGTTGTGGCTACCAATAAACAAGTTCCTCTTCACCCTCAACATAGAGCCTTGTCTCGTGTGGAGGGGACAGCTATATTCACTCTGGGGATTGCCATATCACTATACTCCCCTGGGATTATAATCACTTGCTCTTTTAAGAGCATATTGCTACACTCTCTTGGAGGAGAGGTCTACCCACTAGAAGCTGGATCCTAGGCTTGAATCCAGGGTAGGTGGAGGACAGCGAGACCCCAACCAGGCTGTAACGCTGGAAGTGGGGACTACAGTGCTGATGGTGTCTGGGTGAGTGCTTGGAGTATTCAGTGAACAATAGAAGCATCGATTGGCGGAGGCACCAGGTCAGGGTGCCAGGCGGTCCGTCACACTGAATTTGCAACCTTCTTTTTTGTTTATAAAAACATTCTTCATCTCCGCTCACTGCGATCTATGTACTCTGCCTTCACTTCCAATTTTCCATCCTTTTGGAAGTGATCTGGTGACACTCCAAATGTCAGACCTTTGAACATGGGTTGGATGGCGGACATGTAAACTCTTGTCAAGTCCATGGATATTTATTTGGTGATGCGTGCTAGAGGCTGCTTACGGAAGGTCTATTAAACATGTCACATATCTGCTGAATGATACGTGATACTATGTCTCTGCTCGTCTGTTGTTCTGCCAGTAGAGTAGTCTATTTAATTCAAGACAATATTTTTGGAACACTGTAGGTGTTTTTCAGAGAATCGTCTGTCAGAAACGCCATTTGGCCGTGGCTTTATCGGTGATCTAACTATGGTGTAAACAATAGAAGGTCACTTGTGCGAGCATGGCTGATTCCTAAATCACAATGAGTTTAGAGTTCTGCTCCAGCAATGTGCAGGGGTGGGGGGGGGAGGTAATTATTTATTTTCAATTTGTTAATTTTCCAATTTTAGTTTGCCCAAAATACATAAATTATTCAGATGAACTAAAATACGTCCAAAAATTCTGTTAATTTCCAGAATTCAGATACCTGTTATTCCTTAAGGGGGATGAATGAATGTGGCAGTCACAAAATGTAAGCCCTTTTTTTCATTTTTGATTTTTAAGATGTTCAGTAAAAAACTCAGTAATTTGCACCATTTGTCTTTGCAGGAGTGGCACAGACGGGTCATACATTTCTTCCTGCTAATTAAACCCTCCTCAGTGTCCATGCTTTGCCCTGTCGTGGTTTACCTTGTGGTGAGTGTGCGTTATTTACGTGTATTGATTCCTGGTCTGTCAGCCTCGATCCCAGCTTGCCTACTCATTATCCCTGTCTTCTGTTGTCCAAGATCAGGTATTTGATTATTCTGTTCCACAGGTCCTCGCTACTTTTTTATCAATGTCAATCCCAGCCTTCGCTACGATTATAGCGTAGGCTGATTATACGCATCTGTCCATCTCTATTTCCTACCTTCCCATGGGGTGACCTTAGATCTGGTTGTTGGGCGTAATGATATTGTGACATATCCTTTATCTAGAACCAGTGACTTGAATGACTCCCGATGACGAGTTGTACGTGCTCTGTGACATTTCCTGGAAGTTTGAATTCTTATCATTTTGCAACGAGAATGCAATTTTGAAAATGTTTTTGAGTAAAGGATTTCCTTCATCTCCTAAATCATAGAATGACATTGCGCGTCTTTTTACACTATTACCTACTGTCTAAATTAAGCAGACGGCTCTCAGCAAAGAATCTGAAATCTTACTGGGTTATCCACTAAACTGAGAATTTAAAGTCAATTACAAACTGAGGGTCAAAATAAACCACCTGGAAAAATTCTCTAAATCAGCTATGTTTTTAATTCGGCTACTCGGCGCTGAAATTGGAAATTAACTCTGAATTCACTTTGCAATTTTAACTTAAAATAGTATCTTAAAATATTAAATTACCCATCCAGGTTTTTACTAGCTTTACATTAAATTACCCTATAAATATTCTCAAAGAGATTTTTTTCAATTAGATAATTAAAATCTTTAGGATCTCCAAACCAGGAATTTGGGTGAATTGGAAAGGACATTACTAGAGATCGGAATGTTTTACAAGCTGTTTTTAAATATAACCCCAATGGGAAACGAATAATTAAACGTATGCATGTTTTCATTGGGGGTGTATCTACCAAACAGCGATTTAAATAAAGCAGAAAAGTGAATTGTCCCTTGAGATGCTTCACTCTGGGTAATATTTGGGGTATTTTGGATTGAACAATTACTTTTTTTGTTCTCTGTTAAGAAAGAGGAGAGTTTTGAAGGAAAATATCTCACAGAGCAATATTTTGTGAATTATTATTTTTTTAATGATAAACTTCAATAAATGACATACCGTAATTTGTTTGTGTGAGTTTTGATACGTTTTAAACACATTATCTTGAAGACCGTTATAACTGCAATAGTCGAGCGATAAGGGAGATCTGATAAAAATGTACAGCGGCATTTAACAAACTACAAATTGGGGCAGAAATCACTGGAAGATGTATATTAAGGGGTAAATCTGTTTTTAAAGCTATGTTATAGTAAGCATAGCTAGTTTGTGGTACTCGAGGCACTATAAACATAAGAGTCCGCTGTAGTGGTTATGGTGCCAGGAGTGCCTGATCCGCATGCAGTGTTCTCCAGCAGATACCACATATATCTGTAGTGGTTTTAGTGCTGGCGTGGTTCATGATTCCCATGAGTAGAAAACACAGCCATCACTGTAGTGTTTTGCCAGGAAACAGAGCAGATAACATAGGGTTATTGGCTCAAATCCAGGTTTCTGTGGCATTGCCCAATATATAAAGGTGTTAAACAAGCAATACAATCTCCCGAAAGCTTGTCTTGACACTGTTAGCCCAATTAAAAAGGGATTATAAGACACCATGATTATCTATTAAATTTAAAGGTTGTCTCCAAACAGGGTTTTCAAAAACACTGATTTTGGTCAGAGTAACCCTTTCTATACGCTCCCCTCCATCCCACTCAAAAAAAAAAAGTTTTGAAAGGGAATAGTTTTTTTTTTCTTAATAAAGCATATGCCATATGCCAAAAAACTGATCCCCACCTTTACTATATGACAGTACAGTTAGTCTCTATGGTCTTCACTGCTTCACTCCCAGTACAGAAACAGAGCAGACCATAGAGACTAACTGTCTGTTTCCAAACATTGTCCAACCCAAGGTCTGACAGGTGAGGTGAATAACATTGATTATATCGGTACAATTACTCCTGTCACAGGGTGGGATATATTAGGCAGCAAGTGTGATGTGCTGGAACAACCAATCCGTCCCATGGAGGCCTCATCTCGCAACTTGCAGGACTTAAAGGATCTGCTGCTAATGTCGCGGTGCCAGATACCACAGGTCACGTTCTGAGGTCTTCTGGAGTCCATGCCTCGATATATCATGAGGAAGACCTAAACAATATTGGGCAGGAGGGTTTAATGTTGTGACTTATCAGTGTGTATGGCTGAAGGATCCTTTCATATATAAAGGTAAGGGTGAGGTTTTTCTCTCCCTTTTTTTTTTTTACGTTTACTTCATTTTAAAAACTCTTTCATTTTAAAAACTTTATGAAGGAATTGTTATATTAGAAATAGTTTTCAGGTGACCACTGTCCTTTAAGTCACCTTTAAGGTATTTTGTGCATGGAAATCAGTTAACCTAAGGCTATAATTCATTTTTTAAATTCACAATGCAAAATAAAAGTGTAAGTTAGAGAAAATCTGTTGCTGACTTGTCAATATAGAAATGAAAGGTTTGTTGCTCACTATTCTCATTTCTGGTTTTTAAAGGCATCTGTGGCCGGGAGTTAGCGAGAACGAGAACTGAAAGACAGTTTATGGATATTTTTAGATCTGAGCTGGGAGTGAATAATTTTTTCGAGGAAAACCTTTTCTCTTTAGGGTGTCAACTGCTTACCGTGCGTAAAATCGAGCACTTGTTGCAAATTTAAGTGCAGTAATGCCTGAACTATACAGAAATATTATACTATCACACGGGGAGTGTATGACTTGAAATTCTGTTTAATACATAATTAGGAGCGATATGAGATTCCAGAGCACCCGTGAAAAATGCAAACATCCACACGGGGCTATTACACAATCCACTGACGTGGCACTCAGTGCCCTACAATACGAATTACAGGCTGTAAAGTTATGATCTGGTTTACCTGGGGGACCCAGCAATCTTGGCTACTCAGAGGTGATATGGGAGGGAGTTATAACCAGCATAGATGTCAGTTCTAAGGAATAGAAATATGCCCCACTTGTCCTATACTGGGACACCCATTCACTCTGCCTAATCAGCCATCACTGTGAAGTGGGGTCTAGGTCGGAGCCAACAGCAGCCCATGTGTCTTCTCTCTCTCAGACCAAGGGTACCAGAAGATGACACCAAAAGGGCAAAGAAGCAAAGCCTGACCTTCTTCACCCCAACTCCTGCACAAGAAAGAAAGCAAGTGGTTAATATCGTTGGCCAATAAACAAGCTTTTAAAAATATATACGAAAGATTTACGAAATATAGGAGATAAGTAAATGCAATGGTAAAAATCCGCAGAAAATTATGGTTTTCCTTAAAGTGTAAAGTGCTGGTCATTTAAATGGTCTTTACATTCTCCAGCTCACATGCTCTGTGCTGACAAACACAACTCTAGTCACCCTACCAGCCTTGTTCGCACACAGTGCTCCTCCGACATGTTCTTTGCATGGCAGACATGTGTCCAAGGATAAGTTAAATAACATTTTTACTTTTACCGAGTGTTAAGACACCTCCAGTGTCTTTAGGCAAAACCGCCGTGTAGTAAACCTTCCCCGGCTGCAGTACAGTCTCCGTTCGCTTACTCTGTAACACACGAACCCAATGCAGGGGAAGTGGCAATCTCCCGATCGAAATCCACGAACGGCTCCAAACTCCCGAACGGCAATATACGAACTGCTGGTAACCGTCGAACAATAATATCCCCAAAGCGGCTTTCGTTCCATCCAGCAGTCTCTAAACGTGAAGAAGAAATCCCCCCAATAACGAGACAGAAGCTCCGCATTGAGGGTCAAAATAAGATCTGGGTTTACTGTGGGCTACCTGCCCGTATTTATGCAGGTCTCCCACTTGGTGGACACTCCCCTAGGGGACCAAATGGAAGACTTAAATTACAGACAGATAGAAGGACATTTCAGACACACAGTCACATATTTTACCCACAGTGCATTCTGATTCCCTCCCCTCTGTCCTGGAGTTAATTACCAAGTAACTCAATTAACTCCAGGACAAGGACAGTCGCCATCTTAAACATAAAATAATAAAAGACATAAAAATACATAACTACATGAAAACTGAACATTTCCTGTTAGTATTACATGTCCCCAGATAGCCTGGATCTGAGTGCATATTATTAGCGAATAGCGCTCAGATCCCACACACATAGTTCAATCGCCATGGAGTCAAAGTTCTTACAGTCTTTCGGTATACGAATGACTCCATGGGGGGGGGCTATCTGGGTTAAGTCTTTTGTATGCTCTCAATCTCCCGAACGGCCGGTGTTCGCATGCTTTCGTGGAGGCAGCCAGGCGTTCCCTTGTTTCAGCGGTGTTCGGCAGAAAAAGTGTCCGTTTTCAGTTCCATAGAAATAGAGCCAAACACCGCTGAGCGTTCACATGATTTAAAATGGCCGCTGCCTCGTGGTCGACATACGAACGACGACCACCCTGAGTTCGGTTTAATTGAGAAGTGTCTGCGGTTAACCAAAACGTTCTAATTGGGATCACTTTGTTAACCAGCAGCACACTCCTCACTTGGGTGGCCGGTCGTTCGGCAGATTTGTTCGGGAAAAAAGAGTCATTCGAATGGCTGGGCTATAGAAACCAGCCATTCATACGAACGGGGGACAAACAGACGAACGGGCAAAAATCCAGCAGACAGATGGTTCTGTCACACCGAGTGATTGAGCACGATCTCCAGAGTCACTGGAAAGCAGAACATCAAACAAAAAAAACAATGACAGTTTTACACAGGTCCCAAACCAGGACTGTGCCACCACATACAGGACACTTGGTTGGTATACGAGTATAAATATTAATTTAGCGACAACACATTTCGACTTATCGTGCATTTATTTATTTATTTACCTATTTTTATTTTGGAGTTTTTGCAACAAAAGTACGCTTTAGAAATTAACGTTCTCTAAAGTTTTTTCTCTTTATATAGAGTCAGTTAACAACAGAGAGGACTGAAGAAGACACAAGCTCAGTCTTTTCTGTAACAGTTGCAGTGCAACTGCGAGGTTAGAAACATAGAAACATAGAATGTGACGGCAGATAAGAACCATTCGGCCCATCTAGTCTGCCCAATTTTCTAAATACTTTCATTAGTCCCTGGCCTTATCTTATAGTTGGGATAGCCTTATGCCTATCCCACGCATGCTTAAACTCCTTTACTGTGTTAACCTCTACCACTTCAGCTGGAAGGCTATTCCATGCATCCACTACCCTCTCAGTAAAGTAATACTTCCTGTTGTACATTGCAGACTAGAATGTGTTAGGAAGACCAATTCTGTGCTCCGAGAGAGAATGCTTTAATCAGAGTAGACGTTCGCTGACACAACATCATCTACATTCTCATGGGCGGCACAGGGTTTAGACAAATGAACCAATCCCAGCCTTAGAGTAATTGGAGAGCTGATCAGCTTGTTCTCGGCATTGAGTTACTGTTGTTGTGAGCTGAGACCTAACGCTCAGTTCACGAGATGTGATCGTTCTCTGTAAACAAAATGTGAAATGAACACACGTGCTCTTAAAATGAGCCTTTCACAAAAGACAAATTAACATGAAGCGAAAGAGCAAGTAACACTACATATGTGTATTTTGTAAAAAGTCAATGTTTCCAACAGATAAAAAACATGTGTTTTGTTATACTTAAAAAAATAAATAAATTATATTTCAACAAAAAAATCCTGCTGCGCCCGATGGCAAATGAAGAACTGGGTGTCTACCCAATGTGGAGTGTGATCAATGATTCACACATAACCTCTCTGTACCCTAATGTTATCCTCACACTCCGAGTACATGATAAGTAGAAAAGAGAACGGAATACATCCGGTTAGCTGATTACTGGACTTTTGCGCCAATATAAAGTCCAGTTAGTCCACAATTGCTGGAGTCTTCTGTCCAGACTTCATATGGAATTAGTACATGAAATAAAACCAGTGAAGGTGCAGAGCGTATGGCACTAGGTACAGGACATATACAACAATAATGTATCTGGTATATCACTCACATTTGAGAGAGCTATAAGACCAGCTCTGAGTTTAACAGCATGCAGCGGTACTGTCCCCACTGATGGATATGTAGATCTGGGGCTAGTCCCTCAATATATCATTAGTATATAAAAGATAAAAATGGCAAACAAAAGTGCAGGGGTAGGCAACCTTCGGCACTCCAGATGTTGTGGACTACATCCCCGATAATGCTCTTACACCCATAATGCTGGTAAAGCATCATGGGAGGTGTAGTCCAAAACATCTGGAGTGCCGAAGGTTGCCTATGCCTGCAATAGGGCTTACTGTAATCAACGTATTAATGGTTGTAAAAGTAAGAATTTTCTACACACATGTAGTGGATTAGTAAATCCTGCCCAGATGGCAGCACTTGGGTGGTATTATCCCCACAAGGGTTATAATGTTGGGTAGATTCTTCAAGGAATCCAAAGGTTTTTTTTGTTAGGTAAGGTTTTTAGTGCCAGGAACAGAATAAGATAAAAAATAATTAATGTAATTAAAAGCACAAAAAGAGTAATACATGGACAAACACAACTAGTAGTGAATGCCAAATATACTTTAATGCTTTTAAATCAAAGGCTAAAAAAACACCATGTGTTTCGCAAACTGGGGGGCTTTCTTATCTACTCTTGAGAAAGCCCCCTAGCTGGCGAAACGCGTTATATTGTTTTAATGATTTTGCTTATTTGTGTTTTTAGTAATTTCATTGCCTTTATTTAAAGAGACACTCTAGACCTCTAAAGCACTTTAGTTTTCTGAACAGCTGTACAATAACTGCAGATTTCAGTAGAAATTGTCACCTTTATAAATAAATCTGTTACACCACCCTGCCTGTCAATCAGACACTGGTCCTGTTACTTCCTGGTTTGTTTAGCTCAGTGGAGATAAACTGAAGAGACAGCAACTGCCCAGAGCACCTGCCTTGGAAAGACTTCTCATTGAGCTGCATTAGGAAGTCTGTGATTGGACAGCCACAGAAAGTCTGGGCGGAGTTAGAAGGGGAGGGCTGCAAAGACAGACAAGAAAACTGCAGCTTTTACAAGCTGTTTTTAAATATATAATTAGGTGCATGTATGTTTTCATATATACACTACATAGTGATTTCCATGTATGTATTTTCTATTTGCAATGAGGAGTGTCCCTTTAACATAACTTCTGTTCCACTTTCTGGGGCAGCCCTTTTTATATCCCATGTCACATTTGAACCATGAGATCTGAGAAAGACAAAAGCTATTGTAAGTATAAAATAATGCTAAATTTAGACCGGGGTTTTAAAGGTGGGAGGAAGAGGGAAGTAAATAATAAAATTAATGGCAGAGAAGGGGTGTGGGATGTATCGTTTAAAACCACTGCAGACAATTTGAAAAACACAACGCAGAACATAGATTCATAAATAGCAAATAACAGGAGTATTTACTAGAGTGACGATTGCAGGGAATTAGAAGTAATTTTCAAATGAAAGGCCAAAAAAGTCAAATTGGAAATATTCTCCAGTTTGGCAAAATTGGACTTAAAGTTGAAATTCACTCGGAATTCCCCACAATTCTCGCTTTTGTAAATGACTCTGCAAGTCATGAAAGTTCATGGTAAGAAATCAGAACACACAAAATGCAGGTTTTAATTCCTGTAAGGCTGATTCAAACATCTGACATATAGGAAAACAACCATGATGTGGACGACCAAATTACTTTATTGTGCTAAGCTTTATTGTGGGAAAATAAATTACATGTTGGTCAATGTTCTTACCTGCATATCTTTTCATTTAAAAACTTCCAAGAAGATATATTCTCAGTTCACTTACTGCTACAATATATCCACTCACCTACCAAACCTGCCCAATCACTGCCCTGATCCATCACTCTCATTCCAGATTTACCACTCACTGCCCTGACCCATTACTCTCATCCCAGATCTACCACGCACTGCTCTGACCCATCACTCTCATCCCAGATCTACCACGCACTGCTCTAAACCAACACTTTCTTCTCAGATCTACCACTCACAGCCCTAACCCATTATTCTCGTCCCAGAACTACCACGCACTGCTCTGGCCCATCACTCTCTTCTAAGATCTACCATTTACTCCTCTGGCTTATCACTTTAATCTCAGATCACTCTGGTCACAGATCTACCACTCACTGCCCTAACCCATCAGTCTCGTTTCAGATCTACCACTCACTCTCATGAACCATCCCTCTCGTCTCAGATCTACCACACGCTGCTCTGACTCATCACTCTAGTCCCAGATCTAACACACGCTGCTCTGACTCATCACTCTAGTCCCAGATCTACCACTCACTGCCATGAACCATCACTCATATCTCAGATCTACATCTCACTGCCCTGACCCATCACTCCCGTTCCAGATCTACCACGCACTGCTCTGACCCACCACACTCTTCTCAGATCTCCACGCACTGCTCTGACCCACCACTCTCTTCTCAGATGTACCACTCACTGTTCTGACCCACCACTTTCTTCTCAGATCTTCCACTCACTGCCATGAACCATCACTCATATCTCAGATCTACCACTCACTGTCCTGACCATCACTCACGTTCCAGATCTAACACGCACTGCTCTGACCCATCACTCTCCTCTCAGATCTACCACTCACTGCCCTGACCCATCACCCATGTCTCAGATCTACATCTCACTGCCCTGACTGATCACTCTCGTCCCAGAACTACGATGCACTGCTCTGACCCATCACTCTCTTCTCAGACCTACCATTTACTGCTCTGACTTATCACTTTAATCTCAGATCACTCTTGTCCCAGATCTACCACGCACTGCCTTGACCCATCAGTCTCGTTTCAGATCTACCACTCACTACTGCTCTGACCCATAACTCTCGTCCCAGATCTACCACGCACTGCTCTGACCCACCGCTTTCTTCTCAGATCTACCACTCACTGCCGTGACCCATCACTTTCTTCTCAGATCTGCCACTCACTGCCCTGACCCATCACTCTTTTCTCTGATCTACCATTTACTGTTCTGACCCATCACTCTAATCTCAGATCACTTTCGTCCCAGATCTACCACTTACTTCCTGACCCATCACTCTCGTTTCAGTTCTACCACTCACTGTCATGAACCATTACTCTCGTCTCAGATTTACCACACACTGCCATGAACCATCACTCATATCTCAGATCTACATCTCACTGCCCTGACCCATCACTCACGTTCCAGATCTACATCTCACTCCCCTGACCCATCCCTTATGTTCCAGATCTAACACGCACTGCTCTGACCCATCACTCTCTTTTCAGACCTACCACTCACTGACCTGACCCATCACTCTTGTCCCAGGTCTACCAGGCACTGCTCTGACCCAGATCTACCATTCTCAGATCTACCATTTACTGCTCTGACCCATCACTTTAATCTCATATCACTCTCCTGACCCATCACTCTCTTCTCAGATCTACCACTCACTGCCCTGACCCATCAGTCTCATTTCAGATCTACCACTCAGTGCAATGAGCCATCACTCTCATCTCAGATCTACCACTCACTGCCCTGACCCATCACTCTCTTCTCAGATCTACCATTTACTGCCATGACCAATCACTCTCTTCTCAGACCTACCATTTACTGCTCTGACCCATTACTTTAAACTCAGATCAGTCTCGTCCCATATCTACCACTTACTTCCTGACCCATCACTCTCTTCTCAGATCTACATCTCACTGCCCTGATCCATAATTCTCGTCCCAGATCTACCACACACTACTCTGACCCATCACTCTCTTCTCAGATCTACCACACTGCCCTGACCCATCACACTCTTCTCAGAACCACCACTCACTGCCCTGACCCATCACTCTCATCCCAGGTCTACCACGCACTGCTCTGACCCATCACTCTCTTCTCAGATCTACCACTAACTGCCCTGACCCATCAATCTCGTCTTAGATGTACCATTCACTGCCCTGACCCATCACTTTAATCTCAGATCACTCTTGTCCCAGATCTCCCACTAACTGCCCTGACCCATCACTCTTGTCCCAGATCTACCATGCACTGCTCTGACCCATCACTCTCTTCTCGGATCTACCATTTACTGCCATGACTTCTTGATTCAGATCTACCACTCACTGCCATGACTCATCACTCTCTTCTCTGATCTACCACTCACTACTCTGACCCATCACTCTTGTTTCAGAATTTCCACTCACTCCCCTGACCCACCACTCTCTTCTTAGATCTACCACTAACTCCCCTGACCCACCATTCTCTTCTCTGATCTGCTCAAACAATGCTTTTATTCACAATGCCTCTTGTGGGTCTTTGTTAACTTTAGGGCTCACTTAGTTTAATAAGATGAATCTGCTGCATTTAGGTTGAATGGGCAAAGGGCCCCATGTGTGCTTAGGTTGGAAGCCAAAATTGACAGTTAGCATTCTTCAAACATTAGCGAACCTTGGCTTAGCCTATTGTCAGCAGAGAACAATAAAGTTTGTTAGTCTGAGTTTAATCTATTACTAAACTGAGAACGTTCTGTTTCTCAAGAAACAGAGTAAACAGAGCAATTTCCTGTTAAATTCCTTACGCCAATGTTGAGTAAATATCTGCTGCTTCATAGAACGCATCAACGCTTATAGGTGTGTTAAGTGTGAAATGTGAAAAAAGCATCAGATATCTGTGTTTTCATCTAAGGACCAAACTCTTTGTAGTGATTATGATGCTTTGAGTTTACGGGTGATCTGATACCCCCCTTTTTTTTTTTTCGTCAGACACCTAGACTGAGCCCCTACACTTTCACAGGATAACATGCGATTCAGTCCAACCTGGAGAACAGTCACAGAGTTTTTGGCTAACGTTCCAAGATGAGTTCACAAAACCCTGGGATGACAGCGCCATTAACTCCAAACACTATAACCACTACAATGAGCAGACTCTTTAAACAAAAGCGGTCCCTCTCAAATGCAGTGAGAGCCTTTTGTTTTTGAAACACTCCACTAACTGAAGAAGAAGAGGTATTTTGTCATTCATTGAACAATTTGCAAGCTTTATTTACTAAATTAAATTAAAACTAAATTGCAAAATTCAGACTAAAATCGACGCGCTGTGACTATAGCTGGGTTGGAGAATTTTTTCAAGTTATTTTTGCATAAATGTAGCATTTCTGTTTTCAGTCCACTAAACTCACTGTTTAGCGAATAAAACCCTCTCTGTATACTGTGTCTGTTTAGCCTTTTTGTATAAAGTTTTCCTCTTCGTAGCCACTGAAGATAATTTTGCATAATTGGGACCATTTGGAAATTGACTCTAACGGGACGTGTGTAGGACAATGCTAGGTAAAATACAAAGAGCCAGGGATCAAACGGCAACCCTAACGTCACAGCCGAAAAAAACTCAGGAGGGATTTGATAAAGGATAAGTTTTGGGAAGGGGCATGATCTCTCCACAAGTGCTGTGTTTACTGTATTTGTTGAATGTTCTGGGAATTTACGCTAAGCTTCCCAGAATTTAAAATCATGTGGTCCAGGGTCATTAATAACCGAGGGTGACACAGCTCTTTCTGAGTCCTATGGCTCATCCTTCGTATTAAGTAAGCATGATAGTACAGTACACAAACACTCCCACTGCTCCACGCCAGCCAATGGGAGGGAAGCATCGCACTGACAGATGCTGAACCAGGAATAGGACGCAGGAAGTCAACTGATGACTAATGTAAACAGAATGTCTTCTGCAGGCCGTGCGTAATCACTTTAACTATCCGAGAGCCGGAGGGAATTCATTCACCTCAACAAATATAGGGCTTTATTCACTAAACTGTGAATTGCAGTGAATTGAAAACGGAATTGTAAAATGTAGGTTAACCAAGCAGCTTTTTCAAGCTAAATACAGAAAGGATTATTTACTGGGGGGGAGGGGGGCTTTTTAGTAAAGTGAGAATTCAAAGCAAATTTCACATTTAACATCAAAATAATCAAACTTAAAACATTCTCTGGGCTGTGTTTTCAGTACGACTGCTCTGGCCTTAAATTTGAAATTCACTTTGATTTCTCACTTTTGTAAATATTTAACCCAGTAAAGTGTGAATTGTCAGGAATTTAAAGTGAAATAGTTAGCCCAGAACTGTAGCACATTAAATGTTTGGGATTAGCAAATGAAATTTTAATTACTTAGCCGGGAATTGTGTAAAATTGTCCAAGGATTTCTATCCTGTAAGTTAGTACAACAATCCTCAAAGCCCGGTTCATTTTTACATTTCAGCAGTTTTAACCTAAAAGTTACAATTCTATAACAGGAAATTGATGCTGTTTTTTAAATGTTAAAATATGCATTCCAATATCGAATGTATCTTAACTGCACTTTTACATCTTTTTTTATTTCTATGCAGATGACAAATAAAGTATTCACAACCTGATGTAATGTTTGTAACAGACCACCTGGTCACCCAGGACTGGTACAACCACCATCTGTCTCTAAAAAGAACAATAATCATTACATGTACCTTTCCAGCCTCATAGAGGCACGGCGCGCCTGACCGGGAGAAGCCCACAAATTCTTTGGAAACCGTACTCAGATCATGGAGTTGCTGCAGTCCGGTAAAACGTTGTCAAGGACATTCTCGGTCCCAGAGTCACCAAACAGGGCGATATTAGGAGGGGTGATAGAGGACGTAGGGAACCAGAGAACGACACCAATGACTTGAGGGTGCTCTAGGTACTGACAGAATGTGCCATCATTCCATCATTGTAGGTGACCGGGATTTCTCACCCAGTACTGTGGAACTCTGTGCCGGATCGGAGGATGGTCACGGCCCGGTCAAAACTTTGCTTTCAGCTAGGCACCTTCGATCCGAGCTTTTTTTGGACATGTTGGGCGCTGAAGTGAGAGCTTTCCTGGGATGGAATTGTTTTGGGGATATAGGCACATGAACCCATTTTTCATTTATAAATGTTATTAGGCTCCGAGGTGTCTGGCCGTTCATAAAATGACCTGGTCTGGCACAGACACTTAGGTGCAGGATGTTGTGCAACACATATTGTTTTTCTGGTGACCCCCTTTTGGGTATAAAAGAGTGTCCTTTGTCCCAATAAACCAGTTCTTCTTCACCCTTCACTAAGCCTCTGCTAGTGTTTGGGTGAAACAGTGATTTGAGCTCTAATCTCTGCGCTATAAACACTAGGGGGAAAAGGGATCTTGGCGGCGACATCCAAGCTACCTGCAGGCAGGTTGCCACAATGTTGAAATAGAAAATAGATCCTCAGGAATTTTACAGCACTACGGCATATGTTGGTGCTATATTAATAACGTAATACAAGTATTAACTAAAACAATAACATTAACATAATCTTCTATTCTTCCTCATTATGGTGTTTTTACAATAACATGCCCACTGCACGCCACCATTGACCCTCCTAGTCCTGCACTTTCGCTTTGTCTGTTACATACTTCCTATCTTCAAACAAAGAAAAATAAACCAAATCAGAACATTCCCATCCTCAGCCATGATTCATCTGACCTCTTGTTATTAATGTTACTGTAAATTGTGAAGACCATCTACAAGAAATGCGGTTTGGCATGTGGCTGGGTCAATTCCTAAACAAGATATGTAGATTATTCTTAATATTTATAGAATGACTGTACATGAACTCATTCATTGCCATTCATGACTGAATTAACCATCACTATGTCCTCCAAAAATAATGATTTACAGCAGCACTGGGGGGAGATTGGGGTAAGGCCGCAGGTCTTGTGAACTCTCTGGCATTTGATGGGTTAAAGCACGTAATGGAATGAAGAATATTTGAAAGGGTTAAGCTATTTATCCAAACCTATGACGCAGTGTCCTTTAGACACTAGATTGGGTAAATCAAATGGTTTTTAACCTGTGTGATTCCAGAGGGGTCTTCAATGTCTTTCGTTTCCAGCCCCTCTGGAATCCGAAGGGTTTCAATGAGCTTAAACGGTGCATTTCAGACTGAGAACGAGGCTGGGCTAAACCCAGTCATGTCACTGTGTCTACTTAGGTAACAGTAGAGAATTGTGCAATGACAGTGTTACATCATATTGTTACATCATGGATTCTAAAACTATGCTCAGCCAATAAGAGATTGTTTGATGAGCAGGAAAAAATAACTAGTTCAAAATTCAGTAAAATGTCAAGGATGACCCACTGCTGCCCGATTCACATCTTGTTACAAGTGATGGATTCCAGTCTGTTATTGGGAAGGAATATATAATGTAAGATCTTTTTCCGTCTTGTAGTTCGTCACCAATTTTCAGACTGTTTAAGGGTCACTCCAGACTTCTAACGCACTGTAGCTTGCTGTAATACTTTATTGGTGCTCTAAGAGGATGCTTCACACATAAAGCACTTCAGGGAGTCCAACTGTTTTACATGTGACCCTTAACCCCTTAAGGAGAAATGAGAAAATATTCCGTCATGATTCCCTTTTATTCCAAAAGTTGTGTGCTTAAGGGGTTAATACAGAATCGGAGAATAAAGAATTGAATTTATCATTTATTTTCAAGGTTAGCTTCTATGCTGGGTTTGGGTAAACTTTCATACAGTCTTGTGAAGGATTTTCCTATATTCATTCGGCTGTTTTCCCTCCCTGCTATTTAAGTGCCTTGAAAGCATTCGTTTTATTTGTTCATTCGGTAAATCATTTGGGTAGCAATTAGAACATGGAACACTATGTAACCACACAAAACCGCAAAGTAATTGAATGCTCCTAGGTGGCCACCATTTCGTGCATACGAACGCACGTGGTGAGAACAATGGATGGCGGCCATCTTAAACTCCCGAACTCCTGGAACTGTTTTCGACATAGCACTCGCACGAACACCCGGTCCCCATGGAAGTCCCGTCTGACCTATTTCCGCTTACAGTATACGAACGGTGTTCGGGAGTTTCCAACAACAGAACGAAGGGAGCATTCTCTACGAACCATCTGCATTCTAACTATAGTGGTTTTCGTGTAATTTTATCCAAACGGAGACCGGCTCTTACTACCAATTCCGTGGAACTCTGTATCGGATACAACCGCATGGCGAGCTGGTCAAACTTCCACACGATGAGACACAAAAAGTACCGAATGTTGAATATGTTGCTCACAGTATCCTCAGCTTACTATGATGTGCATAAAGTATAGTTTAAAAAATGGCGAAATTTTTTTAATTTTTCTGGCCAGCAGATAATTGAGTTTAGTATGTTGCTGAAACTCAATTATCTAGCCTGGCCCAGAAGAGGAGCTTGTACTGTATAAATTGAATGCCTGTTGCTTCGAATAAATCAGTCTTGTTCCAGCATTAAGCTTTGGCTCATGTGTGGATTATTTGGCGATACCAGCATTATTTTACCTTGTGGATTATTGGCATTATTCTGTTTTTGGGAAAAAGGGAATATTTGACGGGACTACTGATTACTACCGTCACAAGTCTTAACTAGGATACAATGTTAATAGAATAAATCAGGATTTAAAATAATAGAATTATGGAAAGTCTGCTTTTTCTCAATTTAAAATAATATCACCTTGCGTAATATAAATGATTAGTTCAGGATAGTGATGTAAGTGATTTCATACGATTAGGTTTACCTAGATGTTAACTACATTTAAATCATACCGAAGTTATTGATTAAACCAGGAATCATCCGTAACTGACAAATGCATTTCAATCTCAGACCAAAGTAGACAAACTGGAAATATTATCCATCTCGGATCATTTTTTAGCCCAGTTATTTTGGTCTGAAATTTGTAATAACCTTTGTCAATCAGTTCTTGGTTAAGTCAAAGGCCCTACTGTAGAATTCTTCCATAGGATTCCTTGTCTCTCTAGCGTCGCCCGTCAATATAAAGCCAAGAATAATCAGCATTCGGTGCACTAAATTCTACACAACGAGCTCCATTTTTGTCTTATTCCTTCCTCGTTGGAATTGGGAAGAGGCTTTCAAAGGTCGAGATGTGACGTCACAATGGTGTAGAGGTGGAAACGACAGGATATGGAAAGTAAAAAGATACCTGACTGGATTCTGAATCTTTCTGTCGATAATTATTACAGCTTTATAGGAAAACACGAATCACATGATAAATATCTAAATATGGAAATTCTATTTAATGTTGTGTTTAAATGTAGCTACAGGTGGGTATTGGGCAATCTTAGGGTTTAGATATGAAGGTCAAAGGAGATACAGCCTGGAAAATAAAAATAAAGGCTTTCTATCTGTCCAGATATGTATGTCTGTCATATGTTTATATGAATCACTCACAGGTTATTGGCTAATAGAGGCAGAATTGTGGCTGTGAAGATGAGCGCAGAAATTTGGCTCACAGGCTAGGGGTGAGGGAGCCATTGTGTTTTTTAAATAGACGTGGGCATTGGGAGGAAGCGCTGTGGGTGGGGTGAAAGAGAGATGTAGGCGGGATGAAGAGATGTGTCCAGGGTGAAGGAGAGAAAGGGCGGAGTCACGGAGAGTGGTGGGCGGGATGAGGAATGAGATGCAGGGTGAAGGAGAGATGTGGGCGGAGGGAGAGTGAGGTGGGTGACATGAGAAATAGATGTGGTTGGTCGGCAGAGTGGTTGGCAGTATGGTTGGTTGGTAGAGTAGTTGATTAGCAGTATGGTTGGTTGACAGAGTGGTTGATTAGCTGTGTGGTTGGTTGACAGAGTGGTTCTTTGGTAGTGTGGTTGGCAGTATGGTTGGTCAGAGTGGTTGGTTAGCAGTATGGTTGGTCGGTAGAGTGGTTGGCAGCATGGTTGGTTGACAGAGTGGTTCTTTGGCAGCATAGTTGGTTGCCAGAGTGGTTAGTTGGTAGTGTGACAGTATGGTTGGATGACAGAGTGGTTGATTAGCTGTGTGGTTGGTTGACAAAGTGGTTGGTTGGTAGTGTGGTTGGCAGTATGGTTGGTTGACAGAGTGGTTGGTTGTTAGTGTGGTTGGCAATCTGTTATACAGTCAAACACATTACTGGGAGAATTAATGCTGCGGAGCTCGGTTATACACTCAGACACATTACTGGGAGTATTATTGCTGTGGAGCTCTGTTATACACTCAGTCACATTACTGGGAGTATTATTGCTGTGGAGCTCTGTTATACAGTCAAACACATTACTGGGAATATTACTGCTGTGGAGCTCTGTTATACATTCAGACACATTACTGGGAGTATTATTGCTGTGGAGCTCTGTTATACATTCAGACACATTACTGGGAGTATTATTGCTGTGGAGCTCTGTTATACACTCAGACATATTACTGGGAGTATTATTGCTGTGGAGCTCTGTTATACATTCAGACACATTACTGGGAGTATTATTGCTGCAGAGCTCTGTTATACACTCAGAGACATTACTGGGAGTATTATTGCTATGGAGCTCTGTTATACACTCAGACACATTACTGGGAGTATTATTGCTGTGGAGCTCTGTTATACACTCAGACACATTACTGGGAGTATTATTGCTGTGGAGCTCTGTTATACACTCAGACACATTACTGGGAGTATTATTGCTGTATAGCTCTGTTATACACTCAGACACATTATTGGGAGTATTATTGCTGTGGACCTCTGTTATACACTCAGACACATTACTGGGAGTATTATTGCTGTGGAGCTCTGTTATACACTCAGACACATTACTGGGAGTTTTATTGCTGTGGGGCTCTGTGATACACTCATACACATTACTGGGAGTATTATTGCTGTGGAGCTCTGTTATACACTCAGACACATTACTGGGAGTATTATTGCTGTGGAGCTCTGTTATACACTCAGACACATTACTGGGAGTATTATTGCTGTGGAGCTCTGTTATACACTCAGACACATTACTGGGAGTATTATTGCTGTGGAGCTCTGTTATACACTCAGACACATTACTGGGAGTATTATTGCTGTGGAGCTCTGTTATACACTCAGACACATTACTGGGAGTATTATTGCTGTGGAGCTCTGTTATACACTCAGACACATTACTGGGAGTATTATTGCTGTGGAGCTCTGTTATACATTCAGACACATTACATTACTGTGGAGTTCTTATACACTGAGACACATTACTGGGAGTATTATTGCTGTGGAGCTCTGTTATACACTCAGACACATTACTGGGAGTATTATTGCATTGGAGCTCTGTTATACACTCAGACACATTACTGGGAGTATTATTGCTGTGGAGCTCTGTTATACATTTAGACACATTACTGGGAGTATTATTACTGTGGAGCTCTGTTATACACTCAGACACATTACTGGGAGTATTATTGCTGTGGAGCTCTGTTATACACTCAGACACATTACTGGGAGTATTATTGCTGTGGAGCTCTGTTATTCACTCAGACACATTACTGGGAGTATTATTGCTGTGGAGCTCTGTTATACACTCAGACACATTACTGGGAGTATTATTGCTGTGGAGCTCTGTTATACACTCAGACACATTACTGGGAGTATTATTGCTGTGGAGCTCTGTTATACACTCAGACACATTACTGGGAGTATTATTGCTGTGGAGCTCTGTTATACACTCAGACACATTACTGGGAGTATTATTGCTGTGGAGCTCTGTTATACACTCAGACACATTACTGGGAGTATTATTACTGTGGAACTCTGTTATACATTCAGACACACCAACAATATGGAGTTCTTTAGGATAGAAAAGAAGGACAGAGGGATTTGGGCCCAAAATAGGGACTGTCCTTCCTAAATAGATACACTTGGGTAGTGTGGACTCTGTAGGAGAGTCTCTATAGGTGAAATACTGGGCACTGGCCAATTCTGACTATTATTAATTATGAGAATTCACAGAACATTTACCATATAGCGATAATGAATACGTTATCTCTCTCATAATACATTATTCTTTAACAATACCACACTTTGAAACATTTCTGATTCTGAAGGAATCTGCCTTAGTTAATATCTGAAACCCGCTGCAACTCACTGTGGGAGGTAAATGTGCTCTCAAAGCGTGTTTTAGGTTTTCTTCCTATTGTAGCTCACTCAAAAAGAAAGGTTTATCATCATCTGGAAAAAATCTTCATTTTTTTCCCCTGTGTTTTTGGAATG